CTTCACATATCCTTTAATTTTTGGTTAATGAACGTTGTCATGATATATTATAGAGATTTTAGAGTCTGTTTTCTTCCTTTAAATAACGTAGACTTTTTTTGTTCTCTCAAATTCTTAGCTGATCACCTGCAACTTGTGGGTACTTAGTGTTACATTTTGTTATAAGACATTTTGGTTTTGTCTTTAGTTTTAGGATTAGTCCTTTATTAAGGCATAGCCCCTCTGAGGTTTTGAAAAAAACCTCAAGGTGTTTACCAAGCTCTTATAATTGGATGGGATTCAAATTCCAAATTCTACAGGCAGTAGTTGTAGGCATTAGGCAGCAGTTGAAATCTCTGCTCAGTTTTTCAGCTTTCTAGTTATTGTTTTCCACTGGGCTCACTGACATCTCCCCCACATATATGCAGTTTAGGGGTCATCCAAGGATTGAGAGGAATTTATATAAAGAAGTGAAGCTCTATTTTATATGGTTCTTTGCTTTTTGGAACTTCCTCCCTTAAAGCCCATCTACTCTGGCAGCCCTGAACTCCATTTTCGGACACTTCAAGCAAATATGACTGTGGCTTTCTCCTTGAATTCTAGTTGCTCTTTGTGGATTGAAAGAACCCTCAGGGAGAAGCTGTATAAATGCAGATCTCACCCAGTTCAATTCACTCCGTCCAATTTCCTTCTTTCAAGGAACAAATTTCCAACATTATCTGCCTTCTTTTAGTCAGCATATAATAATACCTTCAAATAGTTGAAAAAATATTTTGTCCAGAGTTTATAACAGTTATCCACAGGAGAGGTAATCCAATATAATCTCTTCTATTACTGATATAACTTAAAAATTTTAAATGTTTATTCATTTTTGAGAGAGAGACAGAGACAGAGCATGAGCAGGGGAGGGGCAGAGAGGGAGACAGAATCTGAAGCAGGCTCCAGGCTCTGAGCTGTCAACACAGAGCCTGATGTGGGGCTCAAACCCACCAACTGTGAGATCATGATCTGAGCCAAAGTCAAATGCTTAACTAACTGAGCCACCAAGGCGCCCCAATTATTGACATAATTTATTGACATAAATTTCTCTCACAGAAATTTTAACTTACGGTGTGCGTGTGTGTTAAGAATAAATTATACCTTTCATCTTTATGAATACTCATAGGATCATTAAATAATACATCCTGAGGGAATCCTCATGTATTATCCAGACTATTCTGTCCTACCAAGCAATGACTATCTAAAACTTATGATTAATCTCCTGCTTTTATTCATTCATGTATTAGTTTAAGGTATACAGCATAATGATTTGACATACCGTTGACCCTTGAAAAATGTGGTTGATGCCCCAACCCACAGGCAGTCAAAAATCCATGTATAACTTTTGACTCCCCCAAAACTTAACTAATAGTGTACTGGTGATTGGAAGCCTTACTGATAGCATAAATAGTCAAGTAACATATATATTGTATGTTATATGACTTATATACTGTATTGGTACAATAAAGTAAGCTAGAAAAAAGAAAATGTTACTGGGAAAGTCATAAGGAAGAAAAATTACATTTACAGTACTGTATTTATTGAAAAAAACCCCACATATAAGCAGATCTGTGCATTACAAACCTATGTTGTTCAGGGGTCAACTATATGTATATACTGTGAAATGATTACCACAATGTCTAGTTAACATCCACAACCACACATAGTTATAATTTTTTTTCTTGGTTTGAGAACTTCTAAGAACTATTCTTTTAGCAACTTTCAAATATACAATAGAGTACTATCAACTATAGTCGTCAAGGTGTACATTGTATCCCCAGGACTTATTTTACAACTGGAAATTTGTATGTTTTAACCACCTTCCCCTATTTTGCTCATCCCTCACTCCCCTGGTTCCTATCTCTGGCAACCACAAATCTGTTTTTTTTTTTTTTTTTTTAGGATTCCGCATATATACTGAGATCATATGGCATTTGTCTTTGTCTGACTTATTTCGCTTGGCGTAATGCCTTCAAGGTCCATCCCTGTTGTTGAAAATGGCAGGATTTCCTTCCTTTTTTATGGTCAAATAATATTCTATTGTGTGTGTATATGTGTGTGTGTGTATGTACATCACATTTTCTTTATCAGTTCATCCATTAGTGATCACTTGGTTTGTTTCCATGTCTTGGCCATTGTAAATAATGCTGATCTCTTGCTTTAAAAGAGGCTGAGGAGGAAAGATGCTTCTTTAGGAAATGAGCTCCCTGTCGGGACACTCCCAATTAAATGCTTTAATTTAAACTCATATAATAGCTTCATTACAGGGTCACTGAATTATACATACAGATGAATGTATAAGCATTACCGAAGCTGAGTTTGTCCCATTAAACCACGGATGTTAAAGAGGTATCTTTCCCCATGTTTTTGTGTGTACATTATCTACACTTTTCTTTGCTTTGCTTCTTCACCCCTTCAGCAACAAAGGAACTCATCACTGCTGGTCTGTTTTACTTGGGTTCTTACACCTTACTTAATATCCTGGCATCTATACATTCCCCATTCTCCTGACCTGACTTCTGTATCCTTCTGGTTGTTCTGAGCCTTAATGTTATGGGTTGAACTGTTTCCCCACAAAATCCTTATGTTGAAGTCCTGGACTCCAATACTTCATAGTGTAACCTTATATGGAGACAGGGTCTTTATAGGGGTAATAAAGTAAACACAAAACCATTAGGGTGGGCCCTAATCCAATATAACTGGTATTTTTATAAAAAGGAGAAATTTGGATCAGAGACATACACAGAAGGAAGATTATGTGAAGAAACACAGGGGGAATATGGCCATCTGTAAAACAAAGGCTGGGACAGCAGATCCCTCCTTCACAGAAGAAACCAATCCTACTGACTGATCTTAGACTTCCAGCCTGCAGAACTATGAGACAACAAATTTCTGTTGTTTAAGGAATCCAGTTTGCGGCACTGTGTTATGGCAGCCTTAGCAAACTAATACACTTACCACTTAACAAATAATCTGATCACAGTTTTTCAACTTGATTCTGACTCAAGGCTTTCCTTTGTCTCCTTTGATCTACTCACCCCTCAGTTTGGTAAATGGGCAAAAAAGCAAAATAACTGATCTGTGTCTTTTTTTAACTTAATTCAAATGACTTTCCTGATCCTAGATTCCTTGTATTATAAAATAAGGATATTGCTCCTGCCCTACCCGTCTACCTAAGCAAAGCTCAAATAAGGTAGTGCACAGAAAATATAAAATGCTACACAAATCTCAGGCATCCCGAGTCATTGCTCTTTGTTCATAATATGTTCTTCCTCTTGCCAAATTATGAGAGAACTAGTTAGAGGGTTCAAGTTCAGAATTCTCCACTTTTTAAAGAAAAACCCTTTCAACCTAAGACTTTATTTTGCTACTTCTAGTTCAAGAGGCAGACGTGAGGTAGATGATGAGTGTGGGATGATACTTCAAGTTTTTATCATTCTGGCATCTCGAGAGGGTTTAAAAGAATTCCTCAAACCACATATTTATTTTAATAAGAAACTAATGTAAGGAAACCAATTTTTTTTTAGAGAATAGGCTTTTTAGAAAGCATAAGAAAAGAAGAACTAATGGCACATCAAACTGCATTAACAAAACTAGGATGTGTATTAAATGTGATTTTAAAATTTGTAAAATTAAATGTGGGATGTTGGCAGTTCTTCAACATACTTTATATGTTCCTTTGTTTTTAAAACGATTTTGTTAATGAGAATTTGAAAAATTGTTGTTTCTACAATAATACGCATTTTTATAAAATTATAGAACTTATTCCCAAACAGCTTATAGTCTAGTATATTGATTCTTATCCAGTTTCAAATGTTACTCAAAAGAACCAAAATTTGAAATGATTCTACCCTTTTCAGTTCTCTAGAATGCCTCCAGATGGCATTAAAACCCTTTTCCCATTATATTTTGCAGCACAAAAATTTAAAAATTAGTACTATTTGAACCACTTAAGACAAGTCACATTCATTATATCATCAGAAATCATGACAGTAGAACTATTTAGAATTTTTAGGACAATATTTTAAGAAAGACAAACATGTAATTATATCTTTTGTGAAATATATAGCCCTCTGATACACACCAAAGGATCTTCCTAGAATGAGAAACAGATCTTGGACAAAATAAGACATTCAATAATATTGTATCACGAGGTGTAGTATCTAATGAATAGCATTTTAGATGCTGAGCAATATGAGCACTGGCTCACACAAAGATAAATTCACAAAGCTGTCTCATAATAAGAAAACTTATCTTGCCCCTCAGAGTAATAAAAATAAAGATTCTTAAGGAGCCAACCTGTGACTGATTCCTGTGAAGCTAAAGTAATTTGCTAGCTCGTGAATTATTTTATTTAAACTTTGGGATATAAAGTTGGTATCAAATTAATCATTAAAAATACATTTGGATTTTTTGAGTACTGAGAGGAAAAAGACAAAAAATAGAGAGTGAGGAACACATGCTTTCTAAGTGCCTTTTCTTATGTTTTTAAAATTGCGTTTGTAAATTCAAAAACATGACAAATTTGAGATTCCAGAGATATTCATCATCATATTTTTCACACAATTCCAAGGTGAGGTTGGAGATGGCAGGCTTTTAAAATGACATTGGTACTTCGTCGTGTGTACGACAGAATACCTCCCAGTATATGTGAAAAGTCACACAGTTATTTAGGACAGGGCTGAAAATCTCCAGCCAAATTCTAAAGGGTTTGTCTCCTTTCTCCCCAATGACACACACCCTGAAATCTTACTACATTTCTATTTTATCAGGAGGAGTATTTACATTTTTAAGATTACTCTTACTGTGCTAAAGCATAAGAAAGACCTCAAAATGTGTCCGCACCCAAAAGCATTGAAAGACATCATCATGAGAAAGAGAACCACAGGCTTCCTTCCATTATTAGTATTACTCTTACGTGATATTTGCACTGTTTCATACTACAGACATATTATCTGGATAGAAACAGGAAAGAGACTTACGATGTATTCGATGTGCCATTGTCAGGACTCTCTGGCTCAGCATCACCTTTCTCTTAAAAAGGAAGCAGACAAAAAATGTCAACATGTGAGTGTTACGGTCTTTAAGATTTAAGAGAGATTAAATATATTTCAATGCTCCTATTAAAAATCATTCCAAATGTGCAGCAGGAGGCTTTTAAAACATCTTTTTATTGTCTGAGAACCGGATTGTCAAGTAATTTCTTCTATGTATTACAATTGCCCAGGCATGGATCTGTGAGTAGGTACTAGGAGCTGTTTGCAAACAACCAGAGGTTCAGAGTGGAGACCCTGCCAAAAGATGAGTATCTTACAGATGGAACCTGTTTCCTTCCATTTCATTTTACAGACAATTTAAGGAAATAAACTCCATTAGCATTCTAACATGCAAGGCATTTTGACCTTTGATCCCTTTTGCTAATCCAAGCAGGTCAGGTTCCATAAGAAGGTGGAGAGAACCATACAGAACATTGATAGATTACAAGATCCCCAAGATGTATACCCACTGAAAGTCCTGGCAGCAGCTTTTGGGGACCCCTGAATTAATGGAGAATAAGGTATAAACCAGAAATCCTTCCAGACCATTTGAAAGTCTAGCTAAAGAAATGTTTCTGTGGTTTGTGGTCATCAAACACTTAATAGGCTTTAATTAAGGGAGTCTGGAACCAGTTCACTTTTAGTAGTTTTAAATGGCAAATTCTTCTAGCAATAGACATAATTCTTCGATCCTTGGCCATTGAGGGTTTGAACCATGCATCCTTATTTTGTAAGGTGCTTCTTTTTATTTCCTTGAGGCTAGGGGAAGGAAGGGGGAGGGTCATGACTTGCAAGTGTGAGTCGGCTAGAGTTATGATGATTGTGTGGTGCTAACAGTTGAGTAAAGCCTAGAAAAGGTTGTGGGTTGTAAGAAATGGGCTTGATGGCGGCCACTTGCTTTTGCTTTGCTCTTTCAAGTCAGGCCTAAACATCTTGTAGAACCTCAGGCCAATGGCACTAGATGAGCCTCCCTTGTCAGCAGATGACATTAGCTTGTGGTCACCTAGTCTCAGGAATGATTCCATGATTAACATGATGTAATTATGTTTAACTTATTTTCATGATGAACACATTCCAAAGATATCACCCAAACTGAACTCAAAAGTAAATTTTACAGGGGATCCTGGGTGGTTCAGTCAGCTAGGTGTCTGACTTTGGCTCAAGTCATGATCTCACGGTTCATGAGTTCAAGCCCTGTGTTGGGCTCTGTACCGTCAGCACAGAGCCTGCTTCGGATCCTCTGTCCATTCTCTGTCCCGGCGCCCCCCCCCCCCCCCCCCCACCGGTTTTCTCTTTCTCTCAAAATAAAGTTAAAAAAAGGAAACTTTACAATTTCTCCTTTTTTAAATAGAAAATTAAAGAGTTGTGAGGGAAAAAAGGCACAGTTACATATATAGTTCACACATTTATCTCAGATATAACTCTGTTAATATGTCTACACAGTGCCAGAAAAACCATGAGGGACAGTCACTTTGTTAAAAAGCCACAAAACTGACTTAGGCGCCTTGACAACAAACACTGATTAGACAAAGCCCCAGTACAAAGGAATCCATTTCGAAATAAAAGTAGAGGCAGCAAATAAACAAACTTGCTTTCAAGCTCATAGTTTGATACTATATTTTTGTCTTCCAGGCCAGTCTGTGGTGTACTTGTACAGGAGACATGTAAGTCCTCATCAACTGGTTCTAGTGCTGGAAAATAACCTAATTTAGTTCTTTCCAGGATCACTTTTCCTTTTTTTTTTTTTTTTTAATTTTTTTTTTCAACATTTATTTATTTTTGGGACAGAGAGAGGCAGAGCATGAACGGGGGAGGGGCAGAGAGAGAGGGAGACACAGAATCGGAAACAGGCTCCAGGCTTCGAGCCATCAGCCCAGAGCCTGACGCGGGGCTCGAACTCACGGACCGCGAGATCGTGACCTGGCTGAAGTCGGACGCTCAACCGACTGCGCCACCCAGGCGCCCCAGGATCACTTTTCCACGAAGTAACCATGCTTCCTGCCAGAATGCCAAATAAGAGCTGTAACACCTGCATTATGGAAGACAAAACTAAATGGAGGTTTAATTTCTGAAACATATTGATATATTTTCCCCTTTAATTTGGGGAAATTGGTTACTTTCCTGAGTTTATAGCCACTGGTACTAACCCCACATAAAATCTTAATCAAGAATGTAAAACAGCAGGTTCAGGAGCAGCAGGCAATAGTAAACATTGCTAAACAACTTGTGTCAAAAACCCAGAAAATCAATAATATAAACAGAGACAATTATTTGGATGTTTGAATAAGTGTGTTTTACCTTGAGCAACAATGCTGTCAGATAAACTGCAGGCTGATAGGGTACAGGCCTTAGTGCACATGGGATCTGGGGGCTGCAGGAATTGTGGGCTGGATCAGCTCAGGGACAAAGCTGCAGCTGATGATCTCTGCTCTTAGCAGCACTTATGTTGTGGCAACAGGGAAAAACAGAATAGGAAGGATACAATGGGGCCAAACAGGGCATTTACAGATGGTCCTAGAGAGCGTGTTCTCTGACTTGGGTGCTGACAATGAATTAATCTTTCTGGGGGAAAAGTAAGCTCAGAATGGAGACAGGGATTAAAGCTGTGTTTGTCATTCACAAAGAATAAGACATAAAATTCTCAACATCTTGAAATTTTAGGTGATGCAATTTCTGAAGTTAACTTGAAATGTTTAAGTACATAAGCCATTAAGAATCATAGTCTCTTTTTCAGGACCCAAGGGAAAATAATAAATGCATACTAGAAAACTCTTGACAAAAAAAATTTAGTTGGATGCTCAGGTGTTTCCCTGCAGCCACCAAAGAAGACTTTTTGGGGTCACCCTGGTTATTTCAGCTGTTTTCATGATAGATACCACACTGGTCTCTGTATTGATCATTAAGAAACTGGACATAAAAGAACGGCTCAGGAGCACTGTGGTTATTTTGCATGTGGAAATATAATTACAGAGAGGAAGAGGGCACAAAAAATGAGCCATAGGATATATATATCTACATACACATGTAAATGCATAGGTATGTATATACGTATATTATATGCATACTTTCAGTTTGATGCTCCATATTTGTCTACTTGAGCCTTCCACAGTACTTAAACATATACTACATGCTTCTTATAGGTCTTCTGTCTCATGACCTGTCATGAATACAGAATCCCTGTCACAGTAGTGGAGGAAGAGGAGAAAGGTACACTCACCACTGAGATGAATATACAGTTTGAGGTATGAAACAGCTTGATGGCCCCAATAGGCCACTTAAAAAAAAAAATGACAGTAGCTACACTTTTAATCCAATAAATGCACTGAGGACTTAAACGCTGGGCACTCTAGCAAGCATAAAGATAAATAATACCTAATTCATGCTCTTTAAACACAGAACATGACTGCACTCCTGGAGTATGTACTCTCCATCAACAGTGCTACAAGGTGGACTACATACTGTTGAAAGGGAATAAAAATACACCTGCGTTAAGCTGTATTCTGCTGCAGAGGGAAGTTGCTATACTATAACTTTTCTTTCTTTTTTTTTTAAGTTTATTTTATTTATTTTGAGAGAGAGGGAGAAAGCGCGAGCAGGGGAGGGGTAGAGAGAGAGGAGAGAGCAAGAATCCCAAGAATCTCCATGCTGGTAGTGCAGAGTCTGACATGGGGCTCCAACCCAAGAACCATGAGATCAGGACCTGAGCCACCCAGGCACCCCTATGACTTTTCTTTATAATGAAAGGAATCCATGTTTGCAGTGTTGACTTTGCTAGCTTTTGTTTTTAGTTATGTTAGCCCTTCAACCACTATGCTCAGTGATATACTTGTTTCTAGATGTAATGACTTTAGACTGTGTAACGATTTCTGTTATCAAAGATGAGACTTAAGGTACTTAATATACTACCATCTCTGCTTACAATTCTTACTAGTCTATTATTACTTTTAGTGCCTCTACTGGGTATTTATAACCTTAAGTTTAACCTTCTATTTCTTGATTAATCAACTATTGACAGTATCTTTTCCTGTATACTATGTGAAATGTGGAAATTCATTCATCTATTCTTCCCTCCTGCCTTCCCTCTCTCCACTGTACACAACTCTGCACAGCTATACGTTTCCTTCTACATAGCCAAGATTTAAAATATTTATATTCTGTTCAGTAATTATTAATGAGTCACCCTCATTAATATTAATTTAATTAATAATTTAATTTTTGGAATTGCCTATAGGCCAATTAGAAAAATTACAAACCAATGAATAATAGGATTTATAATATTATAATGATTAAATATTAGTCACTAAGGAACCAAGAAGTAAGACTGGATGTGTACAGAAAGGAATGTCATAAATCCAAATGAAGGCAAGTGTTCCTGGCATTTCAGTCAAATGTATTCCCATTCTTACATTTCATCATGCCATGTGTTAATCTGTCTCAAGTAAAGGCTATACTTTTCCTTAAAAAAATGTTCAATAGAGTATGCATTTAATGTACATAAAATGTATATGTATATGAAAGTGTACACATGAAGTTTTAAAAAATTAAAATGAGTTAACTTTGAAAACATCTTCCAGGCCAGGAAGTGGGTATTACCAAGAAATAACCCAGAAACCTCCTATTTCTGCCATCCCCACCAGCTATCTGGAAATGGAATCTTGTGTTAATCATTCCTTTTCTTTTCTTAATAGCTTTTACCATCCATGTATTCATTAGCAAATGAAATATTCTTCAGTTTTTTCTGATTTTAAATTTTATATAAATGGAATCATACTGTATGCATTCTTCTGAGACTTCCTTCTGTCACTCAACATTATGATTTTGAGAGTCAGCCATCATGATGTATTGTAGTGTTGATCATTCTCACTGTGGTGCAGCAACCCCTTATAAGAATCTACCATCATTTCCTTACTCATTTGACTCTTGATGGACACCTAAGTTTTTTTCATTAGAATGATGTCATTACACACATTCATGAACCTCCTTCTTTGTGCATGTGTT